ATATATATATATATATATATATATATATATATATATATATATATATATATATATATATATATATATATATATATATATATACAGTATACAACTTTATTCTCATACATAGAGTACACTCATGTAAAGCGATATATAGAAATAGCAAATCTCAAATGCTTATTTTGTTGTAATTGCCCAGCTCTTTATATAAAGTTGGATATATAAGTGTGTCCAACTTTATCTGCACAAATACAGTATACTTACATAGGACAATATATACTATATAGCAAATCTCAACTGCTTGTATTGTCGTTGCAAAATGCAAACTATATTATAGTTTTATTAAACTATATATTAACCATATATAAACTATTATATTAAACTATATTATCACCCGACTCTATTCTGATAAGTGCAACTATAAGGCATGAAGATATTAAGATCATCATATTAACATCAAGATTTTTTTCTGATGCGTTATATAACATATATGCGTTATATAAATAAATTTGACTAGACTAAAACAATTTTTCCCCAAAGCAGTTTTTGTTTGAAACATTTTGATTAGAGAAAGAAAAAATAAGAAGCACATGGATTATTTCTTAAAGGTGATTGGTTGAGCCAAGCTCGAAGCTGTTGTAAATTACTCTACAAACATACACCTTTGATTACATTTGTGTGTTGCTCGGTTGGAACCACAACCGTTTCTAAGGAACTGCATTGTTTGGCGGAAGAATAATGTTTTTATTAATATTATTACACTTTATTTGCTCTGTTTTATTTTGTGAAACCTTACTACTTATATAGAATAACAATTTTATAAAAGCAATAAGCCCCATGAAGCCGTGGTTTACAGTGAATTTATAACAGCTAAGGGGGTTGTAGGCACTCCGCTTCACATCATGCCTAACAACGCCACTTAGCTGTTATACATTCACTGTAAACCACGGCTTCTTGGGGCTTACTGCTTTACTTAGCCATGTCACCATGCATAATGTCAGCCTTTTGGCAGTTGAGCCAATGATTTTATGTAAGACCACTGTTTTATTTACTGCGAGGGCAAAGACATACTGACGCCATAGTTATCATATAATACTGTTTACAGCTGCTGATGAATCCTAGAGAGCTGAAAAACTCAATTATGGTAAAGGGCCTTACACTTCTATTTCCAAAGCATGCTCCAATCGGTTGACCAATCACAATATACTGGGCTGAGCGACCAATTTGTTTTCAGAAGGATGGGGCTTTAAAGAGACAGAAACTAAAACAGTGTTTCAGGCAGAGGGTAAAAAGAGATGCTGCAGAAATGTACAGAAAAATTGTTGTTGTTTTGTTTTGTTTTAATTCATGTAAATGTATTCTAGAAGACCCCAAAAATAAAATGATGAGCTTGTAATATGGGCACTTCCTGGTGCATGTCACCCTATAGCACCCTGGTTCTGCCATTCAACTAGTTTGCCATTTATATAATCCATTACAAATGTCAATTACTTTTGAAACTGAAGTATATTAAAAATCTCTTACTTTAAAACTTTTACTGACGTCACTTACCCAAAAGATATCTTTATTTTTGTTCAAGTATGACTACTGGGAACTTTATACAACACTGACTTATTACTCTACACTTTTTAATGGTCTCACAAACTATCAATAATTCTGTATATAGTCTCTCATGGCCATGTTAATGATGTATTTTAAAGACAAAGAAGGATCTTTTATTTCCTTTCATAAATCATCTAGAGTGTTTCAACCTCGGTAAAGAAAAGAATCCTAAAGATCACCTTTATCATGGACAGAGGTCAACCAATCAATCATCGGAGAGCAGCGTGTGTGTACGACGCCTCTGTATCACTAGGTCACATCTGGACTCTAAATGTGATGGATGAGGAGAAAGGATGACTAGACACATACGTGAGATGGCATTTCACCTTCAATTTACTCTATTCAGGTCAAATTTTACCACTAAAGAGCAAATATGATTTCATTTTCAAAGTGTTGTGGCTTAAAAGGGTGCCTAACATGGAAAACTGGATTTTTCAAAGAAAAGACTTTGATGTACTTTGCAGGCATTTGCAAAAACTGGTCATTCAGAAATAAATGTCACTGAGTCACAGACATACGTTTATTAACACACATTTACATATCAACACCGATTCAGTATTCTGCAACTTGACTCATCCTGATGAACGGCAATGCACACTAAACCAGCACACAGGGGTTAGTCAATCATAACAGAGGTCACTGACATATAGCCTAGACATCTTAAAGGTACAGCAATAAAAAACATGACTAAAGTGACTAATAAATGACTATAAAACTAAATTATGACTGCAAGAAAGCTTGAATAACATTAGGAGTGAACTTTAGATTAAGGGGGAAAAATACTTCAAAAGTATAAAATATTATCCCTTTAAAAATGTTTCATGTTTATCTCATGAAAGCATGTCACAGTTCACAAATCTGAATGAAAAAAAGAACAAACTATTAATTAAGAAACATAAAATTAAATAAACATAAATATTTAAAAGTCTGTTTATTAAAAGTCTGACTATTAAGATTCTTTGCATTTTTCATCATAAACAAAAACTATTTCCCCCCAAATTCGCAATACTGGTACTGTAATGCATCCAGATGTTTTACCTTTGAGTTCATCATTCCATTGCTCTCAGTGGTGAATCTGTAACATAAAAGTGTTTTTTTTCCTTTTTTTTTAGAATAATAAGCATAAATTAAAGGCAATGCAACAAATACTACAATTATCTATAAATATGTAAATGCACAATAAAATATAACCTGGGTGAAATATAACCTGGACATATTCCATGACAAGTTATGTGAGATTCACCCTCACATCCTTTCGTGTCTATTTTCAGTATGTGAAGTGTGAGTGTGTGTGTGTGTGTGTGTGTGTGTGTGTGTGTGTGTGTGTGTGTGTGTGTGTGTGTGTGTGTGTGT